CCACCTATCTAGTTAGAAATTGTGAGACCTCTCAGGCTTTCTCTCTCCCATTCAATCTATCAACAATTCCTAGTGATGTCACCTCTTAAAATTTCTTCAATCTGCCTGCTCTTTACCAAACCCAACTCTGATACATCATCATTTCTTTTCTAGATTACTTTCTACCTTGGTTTACCTACTTGCACACATGCATCTCTTCAATCTATTCTCCATATTTCAGCTGGAAAAAGCCTTTTAATGCAAATTAAATTGTGTTGCTCTCCTAATCAAAACCATTCAGTGTCCTCCCACTGGACGAAAGTCATGGCCTTAATTCCACCTATGACCTGCTTAACCTTCCTCTCCAGTCCATCCCACATCAATCTATCTATAGTCTTGACTGGCTCCAACTAGTTCGCATTTCTTTCAGTCCCTCAGCTTGTCAAGATTCTAGTCCACCATAGGGTCTATGCGTATATTGGAACACTTTTCCTTTATCTAGTGTAGAGGACAATGCTAGTGCTTTCCCCTATCTCCTAGAAGCTATTTTCCTTTATCTAGTGTAGAGGACAAAGCTAGTGCTTTCCCCTATCTCCTAGAAGCTATTTCTATCAATTCTTTGCACCCCTCTTTATGTGCTCTACATAGTACCTTTAGCAACTTTGTGGAGGATTGTCCTCTGGTTAATGTAGACACTTTGCTGGCAGAAAGTGTCTGTGAATTTTAGCCCCCCTCCCACAGGGATCTTTAACCAATAGCTCTAAGTGAGAGTTTGAGCAAGCTTGTCATAGATCAGGACAACTCTGAGGCAAGGCTTACAATCTAAAATCCCCCATGAAGATTCTGGCTAAAGCTACTCTCTGCATAGCTGTGCCTGAGATCACACTATTGCTTGGCTTTCTCCCCTTCTCTTTACTACTTTCCCAGCCCTTACCCATCTCTGTGATAAATCTCTAGTAGAGGAATCTGTGTCTTGAAGCCTTCCCTCAGGGAACCTCATCTAAGACACCTAGATAACTGGTACTCATTTTTTAGATCTCAGGTCGAATGTCACTTCTTAAAAATTCCTGACTATTTGAAGTTCTCCTCTCACTCCAGATGATGAGAATCTCTCGTTCATAGTACATTCCAAAAAATTTTCTATATTGTTGGTGAGTCTTTGACCATAAGCTACATAAGGCAGAGGCCATATGTGTTTGACTTATCATTGTGTTCCCAGTGCTTAGCATAGTAGCTCAAGAACAATCAGTAAAGATTTAGTAAATGAATAGTAAGTGAAGAATAAAAGTTGACACACTGTAAGTGTGATGGACATGAGTATAATGACATGTTAAAAATTGCATTATTCAAACCATTTTTATTGAGCTGCTATATAACAGACACTGAAGTAGTAAATGTAAGTTTTCATATTGTCTTATCCATAGTAGGCACTCAGTAAACATTTGTGAAATGAATAAATGAATATATGATGTATGCCTGAGTTGTACAATGGAAAATTACAATTTAGTTGGAAAAAATAAAAACATAGGTATAGGAAATTTCTTTTAAAAACTCCGGATTTGTTGACATGTCCTAGAGGTTGTCTAGTTGGTCTCCAAGTTACCTTAACAAAGAGAAGAGTTCATTCTTTTTGAATCTCAGCCAGATGGACTATTGCCAATGCTATTTAAATATATTTGGCTGAAACTAAGGTAGCTGTGAGAAGCTAAGGCTCATTATAGCCCAAATATTTTTTGTGCATTCATCCTTACTTTTGAAGTTTTCCTTGGCACAATCTTGTTTTACAACTGCTTAGAATTGAAAACAGTTAAAGTTACATGATTTTATAGCTAGTTTATTTTTCAAGGGTGTATGGAGGTCCTCAGTTTGACAGACCTTAAGTTGTAAGATCCTATTACCTATATTTTAGAGTGTTCTTATTGCTTAGAGTTCATAAACTAAAATCAGCATTGTAAGATGGAAGATGACGTTGTTCTCAAGTAAATACTAGTTTTGAATTTAGAGATTCTTATTCCAATTTCTGGCTCTCCCTAAAGCTATAAAAATGAGCTCTTGCCTTTTAACAATAATGATATTACAGAGTGAATTCAAAGCAATTTTGGTTGCTTTTTAGATGAAGGGATTAACATGTTTACTGTACTGAGATCAAACTGGACTGAATTGAAGTTGTTGAGGATAAATTTTAAGCCAACTCTTGTTGAAGCTCTTATTCTGGAATATCAGATGTTATGCTAAGAAAAGAGGGCCGAGCAGAATAATTAGCAATTACTTTGATTTATGCTTTATTTGAATTTGTTGATTATGACTTAGATTATCTTTCACAATGTATACTTTGATAATAACATAGGCAAAAATTATTGAGCATATACCAAATGCAGCACATCATTGTGTTAACCTAGACATAACAAATAATTTCATAAAGAGAAACAAATAATTTCATAAAGAGCACATGCATCAATCCCATTATACTTCAGTTTTTAGCTCTCACTAACTCAGTTGACTCCAACCAAAGGACCCTCGATGGCATTTGGTGTTTCCTTTACAACTGTGTTTAGGTTTCGAGAAGTATTGTAGTATAATGTAGTATAAGTATAATGGCTAAGTGCATGGACTCTGGGTTTAAGCCCTACTTCTCTACCGTTTACTGTCTGAGTTCAGAGACAAATTGCTTGATCTCTAATTATTTTTGTGTCCTTGAAAATGTCACCCACTTTTTTGGTCCCACGTTTCTTCATCTGAAAGCTGATGATAATAACAGTAACCATGTCAGAGCATTTTTTTTTTTTGGTTAAAAATTAAGTGAATTTGATACATGTAAAGTGCTTAGAATATTGCCTGCAATAATAAGCACTACATAAAATACGTTGGAATTTAAAAAGTGATATATTAGCTCACTTTTTCACTGACATTTGTGTGAAATTGTAAAATTGTAAAGTTGTAAGAAATTCCTTAATGTCTTTAAGTTCTACTTTTCTTATCTGTAAAATGGGCCTAACTGGCAAAGTCTCCCTGCAGTGTTTTGTGAAGACTGAATGAGATCATCTAAGGAGAATATTGCCTTGCCAACCACAAAGCATGTGGTCTTGTACATATCAATCATTTAAAAATATTCATTGTATAAATGAGTTGAGTGAAAGAACAATTAATGTCTGTGTCACCCCTGTGTCATATTCATTGATTCATTTCACAAGTTATTAAATATTTTCTAGGTGCCAGGTACTATATTAGATCCTAGAGGATGCTAGGATGAACAAGATAGTCTCTCATGGAGATTTAGAATCTGATGTAAGAGATAGATATTAATTAAATAAGTAAGCAATTCATTATAATTGTAACATATGCTACAAACCATATAAAATAAGATGTGTGACTATTAGATTCATTAGGTACATTTCTTTCACTTTACAAATCAAGAAAGGGCCAAACAGCTGGGACTGGACCAAGGTCAGAGTGTTAATTTTTAAAAATTTTATCAAGACTTTATTACTGCAGAGTGGTTTAAGGTTCACAACAAAGTTAAGAGGAAGGTGCAGAGATTTTCCACATACCCCTGTCCTCACATACATAGCCTTGCCCATTATCCTCCACCAGAGTAGTACATTATATCTGATACAATTGATGAACCTACACTGACACATCATAACCACCCCAAGTCTATAGTTTACACTAGCGTTTGCTCTTCGTATTGTACATAATATGGATTTGGACAAATGTATAATGCCACATAACAGCTATTATGATATCATGCAGAATATTTTTTACTACCCTTAAAGATTTGTGCTCTCTCTGCCTATTCAACCCCCCTGCTCCCTTTTCTCCCCTCAACTCCTGGCAACCACTGATCTTCATACTGTCTCTATAGTTTTGCTTTTCCTGAATGTCATATAGTTAAAATCATACAGTATGCATCCTTTTCAGATTGGCTTCTCTTACTCAACAATATGCATTTAAGTTCCCTCTATGTCTTTTCATGGCTTGATAACTCATTTCTTTTTAGCATTGAATAATATTTCATTGTCTGGATGTAGCACAGTTTCTCCGTTCACCTACTGAAGGACGTATTGGTGAATGCTAATTTTTTACAACGAACTCCATGCTGGATGAAATTGACTGGTAGCTGCTTATTATGCCTTACAAGATAGAGTTAAATTCTGTTTTTCAGGTCAAAGTGTGGGGCTTAGTAACAGATAAAAGGGTTGGAAAAAACACCTTAAATAAAAGGATTCATGGTTTCCAAGTGCTCACTATTTTCTACATACTAAACATTTTATAGTCATCATATGATTCAATCCTCACAACCTGTGTGAATAACTATTATTGCAAAATAAGGCTCAAAGGGACTCTGAGCAAGATTGCTTTAAGATCACATGGCCAGAGAGTGCAGAGAGTGCTGTCTGCTTGATAGTAAAATTCATGTTCTTCCTAACACAGCAACCTATTTCTACTTGAGAATAATTTAGGCTCAAGTCTTAGCCTCATAGTGTGCAGTCTTACAGATTTTTAGGTTTCAGAATCAGCTCCTGAGTTTCTGGGCTGAGCAATGCCTGTTGTGGCCCATTATTTACTTATGTTCCCCCATGTCAAACACATGAGAATTAGGATATCAGAAAGCATAATAGAGAAATTAGGAAATGAATACAGGATCTTTTTGATGCTCTGAAATTCCTTAATTTTTCAGCCAGCTCCAAATTAGAAAACAATGGAGATGATATTTGAGAAACATCCCTAATCATTACTAATCAACAATATCCTCTTGAGGAGGCCATTCTCTCCTAATTTTCAGAGGGATACCTTAAACTATGTGTCAAGGAGAGTGTTGTGTTGTCACTCTTTTGGAGGCCTCTGAGGAAGAGCACAAGAGAAACTTTATTCTGAAGAGAACCACAGCTCAACTATGTACAAGGGGTAGAGATAAATAAGATTTCTATTTATTGAGTCGTAGGTCAAGCACTATGCTAAGACTTTACATGCATCTTCGCTCACCTTATTTTCTTAATAACTCATTTTATCTCCACTTACAGGTGAGGAAACCGAAGCACAGAGAAGGTAATTGTCCAAACATGCTAGCACTCAGCTCATAAATGTGGAGCTGAGAAGCTAACCTTGATTTGAGTGACTCAGAATCCAGCCTTTTTTCCATTGGAGCACATTCCGTAAACCCTTGGTTCATTAGGACGGAAGAAAGGAAGACAAATCTGGCCCATTGGTAAGTTGTGGTTTATTTGTCCTTAGGTCTGTGGTTTCATTTTTGCCCTATATTTCATATTGCTCAGCTGCTCCACTAGCAAACAAAATTTAAAATGCTCCTAAAATGTTTGACTTATTCAGTGACTTCATCATTAAAAGGACACTGGGGAGGGAGGCAAGAGTGGAGTTTTCCAAAATCCATTACTCTGTGCAAACTGTCTTCTCCCACATCTCTCTTGAAATATCACCACCCATTCGGCTTCATGCTATCCCAGTAGCAATAAAGCAGCTCTCTGCAAGCTACATGGAAAATCCATCAGTCTCTACTAGGGTAGAGGACTTTATGATACAAGGCCAAAAGGAAGAGGTATCATTGTGGTAACGTTAAGAGAAAAAAATGCATATGTCGTGATGATATTTACACATATGTCACACATAAACATTTAAAATGATCAGACTCGTTTGAGCATGGAAAAGAAAAAAAAGCACAAACAAAAACAAACCCAGAAGCAATACTCACTGTAATTGTTTTAAATAGTGAGAGGTATTCCAATTCTGTGAGGACTGCATACACACGAGAAAGATTTAAAGGTTGAAATTAAATAATTAAAAGCCTCTATAATGATGTGCATGATTATTATTGTGTATTGTAGTAATGAGGCATACATGATAAGTCATTTATAAGAAAATAATTACTGTTGTGTGTGCTTTCTCAGTGCCTTGGAGAAAGAGATTCCTGTTTCAGTGGGTGGGTGGTATAGTAAAGATCAGTGCTCTTCTGCTTGCATGACCATGGAAAAATTACCCCTCCAAAGTACCATCTCTTCAGCTATGAAATGAACCCAGCTCACAGTGGATTCAAATAACATAATGCATGCAAATTTCTCATCACTCTCCCTGCAGTTTGGTAAGCATTTTGGAGATGTTAGTTAATTTTTAATAACATTTTGTTGACTTCCTTGGCAAAACATTGCCTATAAAGTACTTTCAGCAGCTAGCAGCTGACCAAACACCAGGGATGAGTAACAGGTATGACTCACATTAGGTCACAGAGTGTAATCAGATTTCATTGTGCTTTGGTGTTGTGCAGGCTGTGTAAGGATTCTGAGAGACATGCTAAAAATGTATATTCTGGGTCCCACTCCCAGAAATTCTAATTCATTAGGTCTGAGACAGGCCTTGGGATCTGTATTTCTAAAAAAGCTCCCCAAATTGCTTGGATGTGGTTTCATGTGTCAAAATCATTAGTGTCAGCCATCAGATTGCTTTCCTAACTTTCAGCTTCGAAGACATTGTTCTCAACCTTAGGTGAACATTAGAATCATCTGGGGAACTTTCAAAAATCTCAGTGGTTAGGCTGTCCCCTAGTTCAATTACATTAGAATCTCTATGGGTTGGATCCTGGCAGCAGGTTGTTTTGTTCTATTTTGTTTTGCTTTGTTTTGTTTTGCAAGATCCCCAGTTAGTTACTTCAGGCAGCCAAATTTGAGAATCATTGTTCTAAGGGAAGGAGAGTTTTACTGGATGAAGATGAATTGGCAAAAAGTAATTTTGAAATAGATGGCACTGTTGTGTCAGGAAAACCCTGATCTTGGTGATAAGCTGATTATCAGAGGAGATTATTGACATTAGGAGGTGGAAGGATATAGAAAGAAAAAGAAAAAGAAAGAATGGTCCCTAAATAATGTTTGCCTGTTTGAATTCTTTTTGGGACAGCCTTTGCCTCCTCTATATGTCAAATGAGTATGCTTTGTATTTGCTAATCACACTTCCCTCATTACAAAATGTGAACATTTTTTTTTTCTGTTTTGCCTGTGATGGGCTAAACACTGTGCTAAGTGTTTTCATATATGTAATCTCATTAGAGTCTCAAATCATCAGTGTGAAAAAATATTATCTTCTCCAGATAAAACATGAACTCAGTCACACAAGTAGTAAGTAGATGGTTATCATAGGCCCCACACACATGTGCAATTCAGCTTCTTTAAAATGGCCTCAATTTTTATTTCTCAAATTCCTCTCAAATGTTTGTTAAATGTACTCCAGTTCTCAAATTCCTCTCAAATGTTTGTTAAATGTACTCCAGTGGGATGGGATTGAAACTGAATGTCAACAGAAGACAGGAGAGGACTTATTCTCAACCATAGTCAGGAAATGGTATCTCTTCTTTTTCACTGGGAAGAGATTGATTAAGAAACATCAGCACCAATGTCCTTTAGTAGCTCTGCTCACTGTGTCTGAGAAAGAAGTAGTTCTAAAAAGAATGCAGCTTTTATTAAATTGATTTGCTTACTTCCTTAGATATTTGATTGGTCTCAGAGTTTTCCATCATCTTCTCACCATTTACAATATTGGACATAAAAGTAAAAAATTTTATTGAGCAATAAAAATGCTCTAATAAAGTAAAGGTGGTAAATCCTTCCAAGTGGCAGCACAGAAGGCAATTCCATGAGAGCCAAGAAAATGGTCCTGCTTTGGGAAATGCAATCCTAGTTATGAGATGATATTAAGCATCATTTTTAAAAAATGAAACAAATAGAAAACCCTTGAATATTTAGACCTACAGAAGAGATGCAAAGTGATGTCTGTGAGGGATTAATGAAGGCCCTGGAACGTACATACCAAGCCTCAATATTTCCACTTAAGTTGTGTCCTGTGTTGATGTTTGACATTCAGAACTATTTCAAGTCACTTTGGTGGAGGAATTTATGAGAAATTGGATGGCAGGCTGATTTAAATTAACCTCTGCAAATATACTTGGTATAAACTTACCTGTCATAGACAATGGCACAGTTTTAAGGTTTTCAGATTCATCACAGTCTCTACGGTATTTTCCTTTAATAATGCATATTGAAAAATAAGATGTTTAGCTAAGGCTGCTAATTCTTTGAAACTCTAATCATTTAAGCTGTCTAGCCTTGTTCAGGGTAATTATTTCTATCCATTATCCATCATGCTAAGAAATGACAGCTCAGGGACAAGGAGACTTTTCAAGCAAATGCTTTAAGACAGTGTTTTATTTTGTAGGCACTGGCCAATGTTAATTAAATTATATAAACAATGACTCATAGGATAAATAGCACAGAGAAGCTTGAAATAAAAGACAGTTCAATAACTTTAAAACTATTCTTTAAAAAAAATTTAAAAAAGGGGGGCCTTTATTCTCTTTGCTTTATGTTCATCTTCCTAAAATTCAGGTGCTGTCAAAATACATTGTCTCTAAAAGTCTCACTTCTAAGATCAGTAGGGGAATCTTTCTGAATTCTATTTCTGGAATCTATTTTGCATTAGAGAAAAAAAAAAAAGAAAACAAATGGAGAAAAGTAAGCTCTTTTAGGAGTCACAGAACCATGAGTCAAACCCCTAGGCATTCTCAGAGTGTGAAACAAATTCTGGTCGATAGGAGATATAACCGCTAATATTAGTAGAACTGCCAACGTCTCTCTAAAACACATCATTGTTGAGTATAGCTTCTAATACGTCTCTAATGCACATCACTCTTTTCTGGCAAGTTTTAGAAGGTTATCATTTTTTGAAATTTTATTCTTTAAGATGGGTAATACTACCAGAACCAGTGGCAAATATAAAAATGTGAAATTATCACTTACCACTCATTGCTCACCTTCTTTACCTGTAGGAGGAAAATATCTGATAGTCTATCCATGTACTTTTATTTACTGTAAAATCAACAGTTTATCAACCTCTTAGAAATTCAGAATTTTAGAGTACTGGATTGACATCTATAAAAAGAAAAGGAGCTGCTGGGTCACCCTCACTTTCTATTTGTTTCACTTTGTCCTTTTGCTCTGCCTAGTAAAGCCACAGGAAAAATTATGCTTCACAAATGTGTCAGTGGCCTTTACTATATCAACATATCCTGCTTATTCAGGGGATTTAGGTGAAGTAACTTGCAAGCTCCTTGAGGTCAGAGATTACGTGTCATTCATCTTTAAATGGCCTGTGGAGCCTGATGGGTGGGTGCTCATAGGCCCTCAGTGCAGTTTGAGCTGAAATGGGATACGTTCAAATAGGATAAAGCAAGTTGTATTGATTTTTTTTTTTGCTACATTCTTAACATTTATCTAACTATTCCTCATTTATCTAACTTATTCCTCAAATAAAATAAATTATATCCAGTTGCCTTTCCAGTTCTTAGGAGATGAATATTTTCTGAGACAATAATGTGAATGGCTAAAGTTTTTGAATTTTCTGCACATGGAAATAAGCTGTTGTATAGTAAATGACGATCAAGAAGAGGGATGATTCTTAGTTGGGAGTTATTAGACTCCGGAATGTGAAATTAATGCAAACTATCCCCTAGATTTTTAGACTTTTTTCACAGGCATTTGTCTCAGGCAAATTTCCAAATGTTTAAGGATTTCCCAGATATTGTACTGATAATAACTTCTAATTTAATCGTGTTGTGGTAGAGAAAATACTCTGTGTGACTTTAGTCTGTTGATGTGTATTTAGACTTTTTCAGGGCTCAGCATATAGTCTATTATCACGAATGTTTCATGTGCATTTGAGAAGAATGTCTATTCTATGTTATTTGGTGTCAATTAGGTGAAGTTGGTTGATAGTATTGTTCAAGACTTCTATATCCTTACAGATTTTCTGTCTACTTGTGCTATCAGTTATTGAGAGAAGATATGTTAAAATCTCTGACTATAACTGTAGAGAAGATAAATGTTCATTTATCTTTTTACATCTGTTTTCGCTTTGTGTATTTTGAAACTCTGTTATTAGGTACATACACATTAAGACTCTTACATCTTCTTGATGAGTTGGTGGCCCATTTATAACTATGAGTGACCTATTTTATCTCCAGTAATATTCCTTGTCCTAAAGTCTACCTTGTGTGACAGTAATATAACTGCTATAGTTTTCTTACTATGGTATATCTTTTACTCTTTTTTGCTTTTAATTGGTGAATCTATGAAATGTGAGTTTCTGGTAGACAATGTAGAGTATTACATTTTTATCTAGCCTGAAAATCTTTACATTTTAATTGAAGTT